CAGCTCTTGAAAGGTTTTAGTGTCTGGTGCCTCAGGGAAAGTTAGGCTCCTAATAACTGAAAAGGCTGTGGGTCTACAAGCTGTCAAGAGATTAGCTCATTGCTTTCCATCTGCTCCAATGTTATTTGCCTGGAGAAAATAACACATTCTTTCCACATACTGGGCCTAGTCTTCAATGGTAGGATCAAACGAGTCAAGCTTCCTAAATAACGGCATGATGCCTGAAATGCTTACCCCAACTCAAAGACGACTGTTGCAAATGAATTTCTTCAGGAGTGTGCTTTACTGTCATTACCACTGAAATAACTCCACAGAGGCCAGTATTCCATCACCAGTCACACTTTATTTACACATGGAAAGTCCTCGACACTGATCCAGCTCCCTCAGAACCAGCTCGCAGAGTGACAGAATGTCTGATACTCCTGTTTTCATCTGTCAGCCAGGGCTCCCTGATTGGACCAGATTAATGACCCCAATCAGGGAACTCATATTCTATGAGATCCACCTGGCTGATCTTGTTACAATCACTACAGTTTGCATGCTGCGCTCTAAAAAACTAGAAGATGCAGTGACGCAATGTGACGGTCAACGAGTGTCTGTGATGCCGTACTATTATACCAAGGAGAAAAATGAGGATGTTCGTCAGGAGGAACGTGATATTTACCACTCTACAGCGCAGCAGCGTCAGCTCAAACAATCCATATGGGATTTTATTGGCTACAGCTTTCAATGAACTGAGCTGGGTAAAGCCATCATTCATTGGCTGTAGATGTATTGACGGTGGAGAGGCAAGCATTCCCTGTTTTTCAAACTGTAAATGCAGCTTACTGGTTTGTTCTTCCTTCATTTTTCCAATTGGTTTTTAGAAGTTAATATCACAAACTGATGGATGCCTTCACAATATCCGATACTTCCTCATTCAATAATGACAATGTTAGTAAGGGCACTACAGAAAGGATAGCTATCATTCAGACAGGGGTGTAACCTCATGTAACACTAAGAATGGCTACCCTTTCTACCTTCAATTTTGTAATTGCAGCTAAAGAGAGAGTTGATCATACAGGTGATCATGTAAAGTGAACTTATACTTACATCTGTTTATAATGGTGTCACTTGTGCCACCTATGTGCCCTCATAAAGCTTTCTTTTTCCTTTCTTTCCCTCTGCCTGTCAGTGCAGTACCAGGGTCTGCAGTTGGGCTTGAACAAGCTTGACCTATAGTGTCTCCAGTTGGCCTTGAGGATTTGGATGGATAACCCTGAGGGCATTTGTCGCTAGATGGCCCACAAATGCTGAGAATGTCATGACCAGATGCAAATGCACCCTTCTAAGCTTGAACTACCACGGAGTTGAGATTCACAGGCAGGTGGATGGTCCAAACACCTCCACAGTGTCCTGAGATGAGATTTCTAGGAGGCCTGCATGCGAATTCCTCCTCTGGATGTGTGCTGCTGATACCACCTTGTCTCCTTGTGAAGAAGAGCATCTGGAGTGAGGTCAAGGTTTTCTGTCACCCTGTTACTTTGCAATCAGGGTTGACCACTAATGCCACCAGAGATAGAGTTCAGGTCTATGTCCATCTCTGGCAGCCAATAAATGTTTGGCGTCCTTGGGAGACAGCCAGGCATAGGTATGCAGGAGTCTGAATGGCACAGAGAGATTTGGTGGACTCCTGTAACTTTGGATCCAGTTTCCTGAGTGTCTCCAAATAATCTGCCTGCTGCTCCTGTGTGAACTTGTGTATTTTCACAGTTATTAATGGCTGATACCGTGAGGTCTTCTTCTGTGTGGGGTGAACAGGCTTCCCAGTCTCCAGCAGTCCTCTTAGTGCCAGAGATCTGGGGTGTTTTATTCTTGGCCAGTTGCAGTGACGTGTCAGTGATGTGATCATCAAGGTGCAGGGCTGGATGAACACAGCAGGCCAAGCAGCATCATAGG